GCAGGGGGCGCTTGTGCAGCGCCCAAGAAGCCCTGGGGCGAGCCCCGGGTCGCGCACACGCAGCCCTAGGAGCTGCCGCCAGCCGCGCAGGCCGAGACCTGGCTGCCCTGGGCTTCATCTTCTCTGGAAGGGGCGGTGTAAGGAAAACTCTCTAATAAATAGCGTTTTACGAAAAACATAGCATTCTCTCGGCTTCGGACGCTTGGTTTGGGGCACATTCCCTCCCCCTAGGAGCAGCAGCAGACTCTGAGACACAAAACGTCTCGGAGGGAACCGTTCCTTAAAGCAAAGCCCCCCAGCCTCCAACCCCCCAAATTAGAGCTCAGCATTGCCCAGGGTTATTGTGTGCAGTGCTCCCAGGTGCCAAAGGAAACCCAGACACCTGCCAGGGTTTGGGTGCGGCAAACTGGCCGAGCTGCTCCAGGTCTCTGTGTGTGCAATGCTCAGGGCATTGCTGTCACCCTCGGCCTGATGTCCCACTGCTCACGCTGGAGCTGGGGAGAGCTCCGTGGGCCTCTGAAGAGAAGCCCTGAGTGCCCTCAGCAGGGCCCAGGGCCGCAGCCACGGCATCAGCTCTCGGCCAGACCCGCACTGATAGGGGAAATTGATGATTAGTTTGATTTTGTTATAACTTTAGTTTAATTTTGTTATGTAGATTTGTAGCCATGCCGAGGCAAGGGTTAACTACTGACATTTCGTTTAGTTGTGTTCTATTCTTTGTAACAAGGATTGCTGTGAGCTCAAATACAGGTAACAAAGTTTGCAGCATCAGCTCAGCTCTAACGAAGGCACTGCTAACAAGGACTTACTGTCTGAAAGACTGATCCATCTGGACTCTTATCACTTGGAAGAAGCAACCATCCAGTAAGAACTGGCCTTGATGTTTGGGATTCAGCCAACACAGTTCTTGAGTGAAAGGTGGAAAGTACACCGTGGCCTTTCCCCCGACAACCACCCAAGACAACCACCGGAGTACACTGCGCAGGCATGAGCAGGAGAGGCTGGAGGCGTAGAACATAATGATTTCCCCGAACTGATCCCTCCCTAAGAGGAAATACAATGAATATGTAACCAAGAATAATGCATATGCAACGCTTTGTAGTATATAAGGCGGTCGCTTGAGACCCCAGGGTGTGCAAGTTAGGTGGAGCAATCCCCCTTGCACCCAGCATTGTAATAAACATACCTGCTTTATAACTCCATGAGTTTGTTTCCGCATATCAGCACAACACCCCCGTTTCACACCGGCTGAGCTGCATGTGCGGCGCGGACTCACATCTCACCTGCTAAGCCAGAGGCACAACACGCTGCATGGCATCGGCCAGGCCAAGGGGCATTTCATGGGGGGACACAGAACAGCTCGTCTTCTCCTTCCCCTTGGTGCCAGCTCTAACCCCCTGCGGACACCAGCAGCACCCAGGAGAGGGGCTGGCAAAGCTCTGCCCATCTCCAAGGCTGCTCACAGAACAGCTCCTTCCCAGGCTCCCTCAGGGATTTGCTGCAAGGGGCCTGGTCCAGCAGAGTAACACACTACCATCCTAAATTAGGTTCTCTCCAGCCTTTCTCTGCCCCTTCTCTACAGCCTTGTCTTGCCACTGCCTCTTTGCACCCCCCACTCCTGTCTCAAACAATACCCAGAACCAAGAATTCAGGGAAGGGTGCCCCAAGCTCAGCTGCTGACACAGGCATGCCCCGGGCCAGGGGTCCCACCTTCTCAAGGCACAGAGGGTTCACCACAGCTCTCCTGAAGCAGGAAGAGACACCACTGAGACTGTTCATGCCATACTCGAACACCAGCCAGAGATTTATTCCTGTATATTAAATGTTAAAATCACATGCATAATTAGAGAATACTTTATAGTTAAAAAAATACTTCAAACACCAATGCTGACAGTTTACCTGCAACTGCTGTAACAGCTCTATGATACACAGATATAAAAACATGGTGATTTTCTGTACTTACAAAAATTAGGGAAGGATGCAATCATCTGGGTAATTATAAGTGAACTGATGCCCTGCATCGGACAGTCCTGGCAAACACCCACTGGTGAAACTGAGCTCAGAGCAGCCCCTTCACCCAGATACATGTTTGCTAGACATGGATTTAACTCCAAATGGCATTTGGCTACAAGAGGGTGTAAAAAACTATTTTCTGACACAAGACCCACAGAGGGACACAGCAGAACATGCTGCAAAGAGTCTGTAGTACCAGACCCCTGGCTTTACGGGCTCCCACACCGGTGGGACCTGCTGCTGAATGGGCCTTACACACGGCTTGCGTGTAAGCAACACCAGCACCGTCTGCACGCATCTCATCAGGCAGGGAAGGGTTCGGACCTGGTGCAGCTCCTAAGGAAGGTCGCCAGCAATGGCATTTCCACCAGTTCAGAGGGATCGGAGATACACAACGAGCTGCTGGTTTTAAGAAGCCGAGTCATCACTAGTTTGAAAAACGGCCCCATATGGGTCACTGTGAATGCGCCTGTAAACAAAGTGAAAGGCCTGGGGCTGCGGGCGGCTGTGCAGCTCAGCCTTAATTTTCTGGGGGTACGTGTCCTCCGCCAGCTGCTGCCAGGTGTCAGCAACAAACAGGAACAGGCTGTATTCCTCAGGGTTGTCCACTTTAAACTTCTCAGCACAGAGCTGACACACATCCTCGGTGGTGATGTACGGCCTCACCAGCAGGGTCTTTCCCGTGCATCCGCTGTGAACTGCCTGGAACGCAACACGCAGGTAGTTCTGCAGGATGAGAAAACAGACATCAGAAACGCAGGAAACCCAAACTGATCCACAGGATCTTGAGGCAGAACCTGGATCTTTTTTCTTTGCTGACACTGACACATGCTCCCAACTCTACTAATGTGGACATGTTTGGAATATGCCCTGGAAGGAAATGCAGTTCGACATTTCAAGCAGCAGTGAACAAGCACATTAAACACAATAATAAGCCACAACTGGGTAAAAAAACCCCAAAACCCTTGTGGACACGTGACCAAAGCAGCCTGCTGGCACGTACTGTTAAACAAACTAAATGAACTGCAGTTACAGACTAAAGAGCAGGAAAATTAAAACCTAACAGTGAGAAGGCTGTGTATGTGGGTGTAGTTACCCCAGAGCAAACCTGGCTGTCCGTGTCTGTGCTTTCAGGAGTGCTGCAAGGAGAGGCTCAGGTTTGCACAAAAGCCTGTAACTCGTATAACAGTAGCATACTGATTTATGCAGCACGAGCAAGTTGTATTTAATAATCATTAAATCGGGGGATTCTTTGTGTTTCCATCCTTGGGAGGGACAGAGGGAGGGAGGGTGAAGGCCTCCCAGGGCCCAAAAGCCAGGAGGGCTGTAAGGCTGCATCCCAGAACTGCAGTGGCCTCATGCTGGCTCTGCGCAGGGAAGATGAGCCAAGCTGAAGAGGTGTCACACGCTGGGTGCAGGGAAGGTGTTTCACTGCAGGATGCAGAGAAAAGAACGGGAAAACTGGCATTCTGAGTTTGGATCTGTGCCATGCACAGCCTGGAAGTGGCTTGACCATACTGCTTCAAAGCTCTTTGGGAAGAAAAGCCCTGGACACAGCCAGGGCTCCCTGCATCCTCCCGCATCTAGCCGCACTGGAGCTTGGCTGGCTACTCCAGTAGGGCTGGAGTTCATCTGCTGAAGAACAGAAGGTGAAACGACGTGCAAGACCCCGCTGAAAGAATCTGCTGCTGTTCAGTCATCCAGCAGAAACACAGGTGATGGATACTCCAATGACAAGGGCTGCGTTTCACTTGAAGGAGCAAAGCCTCAAGCTCCTCGAGCCTGAGTCCTGACTCAAGGGGAGCATGGATCTCAGCAGGATGGGCTCTGTGCACCGGCCAGCATTTGGAGTTTCTGTTCATCAGTTCTCCTCTCCTTCAGAAAGGAAAAACATGGAAGACTGCTTCTTCCCAACTCCTTCCTGCCAAGTGCTGTGCTGTGCCTGTTTGCAAGGATGCAGACAAAGCAGAAGGAGCCTCAGCTGACAGGCACGGGTCTGGGTTTGAAAGGTGAAGGGATCCCGGGGATTTGTTATTTCTCAGCGGCAGTTACTGCCCTGCTCTGACGGGGTGGTGAGCAACGGAGGGGAGGGAAAACACACACACAAACACACACATACACAGCACAGAACTCTGCTCCTCGCTGAACCTCTAAAGGTCTAGGCAAGCTTTTATCCCCCCTCTCCTCTTTATCACCTGCTGTGTGCCACCATGAGCTGCGGAAAGTTGTGCTGGGTTGTCCCCCTGGAGATCCTGGTTTGTTCTCTTTAACAGTAAAGCACAGAACCATGGAACGGTTTAGGTTGGAAGGGACCTGGATCTAAGATCTGGTTCAGTTTGTCCTCGCTCTGCACGACTTAAATGAAATGGGGGGCAGGAAAGCTCCATCACCCGCTGTTTTCTTTAGCCCATCGCAATCCCACTGTATTGCAGCGTGCGGAGCCTTCCCAGCCAAGACCGATCTGCCAGCCAGAACCTCACCACTGCCTCGCTTTGCTAGTGGCCCCAAGGGAATTCTTGGGAATCACACCTCTCAAACAGGGATTTCCAACAAAACAATCATCCCCAGCTTTTTCCTTCATCCCTAAGCTCTACCTGAAAGTCATCAACTGAAGGGATTGTCCTGTGAGCTGTCCTCCTCCTGTGCCACTGCCGGAGAGTGTCCCTGGTTTCAGAGCTGAGCAGGCGGGCAGCTTGTTCTTCCTGGAAGTTCTTGATCAGCGAAAGTGCTCCATAAGCGCTCGTCAAGTAATAGCCTCCTGCAAAGGACAGAGAGCATGGTCACAGGCAGGTGCACCAACACCATTTTTATATATATATACACACACACCCATGTGTACAGGTCTGAAAGTGTCTGTTCTCTATCGCCAGAATCTCTGTACATGAAGAAACTAGCTCAGGGCCCTGCAAAACCCTGGGGAGTTCTGAGAACCTGACCTTGACAACAATAGCCTTCATGGCAATAAAGCAGCGACTGAGCGTGTGATCTGCACCCTAGGGGCATCCCAGAGTTTGCTTTTGTTTCTCCAAGGAAGATGGTGTGTCCCCTTGTCAGCATTCCCCACCCCACCCCACCAGTGCAGTGGGTGCTGTGCACAGCCCCCACCCTGCACCCTGAGCACAGGTGTGGGGAGCAGCCTCCAAGTGCAGCAGAGCTGCCGGCAGACAAGAGCAACTGCCGGGCCCAAAGGAGCCTCAGTGGGATGGGACAGTCCCAGACAGCCAGGAGAAACAGAAGAGATGCTTTGGGTTGGGACATTGGTGCTACCCTCTTGTCCCACAACCAAACAAGGTGAATGGCAACTGCACTGCAAGGGAGAATCCCCCTTCCCTTGTCCTTCACGCAGCTCCAATAAAGATCAATCAATCATTACCTTCTCCGTGCAGCAAAGATGGGTCCAGCAATTCCATCATGTACTCGATTTCAGTATCCAGCTCCAGCATATCACACTGGGCCAGCACGTACGTCAGCACAGGCAAGAAGTCGTCAGCTCCATACAGCCTCCCTGGGTCAAAGTGGACACAGACAGTGACAAACAGCCCCAGTACAGTCCCAGAGGTTGACAGGAATGCACAGTGTCAACCCAGCACGTCTGGATTACCCCACAGCCTTCTATCACCCCCGGGCAGCACAGAGAATGGCACCAGACACTGGCAGGACAGGAGTCCAGCACCAGCCTCACCCTGTACCCATGACAGCACAGACCTGGCGATGCACCCTGCAGGGTGTTAGGGTGGGCAGAGCCTGGGCTCAGCCTGGCACCATTTCAACCGCAGAGCTCCCAGAAGGCTGCCGTGCCAGTCCGGCCTGGCCTCCACCTGCACTTCCAGCACTCAGGGGTGATGGACAGTCCTGTCGCCTTCCTACAGGCAGGGACTACTCCAGCACTCCCCGGGAGGATCCAACCACAAATACCAGTTTCAGAGGCTGAATCCTGACAGAGAACACCTGCTGGCTGCTCGGCAGGTCCTTCCTGGTCTGTAGCTCCATTACGTTATCTGGGCCTCAAGGTCACTTTGGGACACTTGCTACAGCACAGATGTTACCTGCTGTTCCAGGTGGAAAGCAAGGGACCAACTGAAACATTCAGGGACATGGCAAGCCAAAAATGCTGTATCAGAGACTGCTTTCTTCCACCCATTAACACAGAGCCCCTGTCATAACACATACATGCTCCTGAATTCCTACAGCTGCCTGCAGGGATATCAGGAAGGGCAGGGAGATGCCGGGAGAGCTCTAGGAACAGGAGCCATGGCTGCAGAACAAGGTGTTCTGATCTCCTCCACGGAAAACTAACCCCTGGACTGGATATCACTGACCCTGCCCCACCCCAGCCCAGTACCTGAGTTGTTCTCCATCACAGTATAGATCAGTTTGCAGACTCTCAGCAGCAACGTGACTTTCTTTTCGGGTGAATACATCTTCTGCATGGCCAGGAACTTGACTTTAATCTTCTCGACATCCACGAAGTCTGGAGTTGGGACAAAGACGCCCAGTTCCTGAGGAGTCCTCTGCCGCACCAGCTGCAGGTTTTCCTTCAGCTGTTTCCAGGAGCCGTCCGCAGTATGAAACTCCTTTAGCATTGCTTCGATGTGTCCCTTCAGCGGCTTCAGAATGCACTTGTGCATGGCCTTCTCCAGGACGACATCTGTAACAGCACACAATCCTGCTGACTTCCCCCTCTAGGCCAGAGCCACCACGAACAGACCCGCCCCCAGCAGAGACACCGCCAAGCCAAACGTACTCGCCAAGGCCTGTGAGTTACCCAAGCTGAGCTTCCAGTGGTTTGGGTAACCAGAAAGCAAAAGGCAGAGCAGAACCTGTGTTCCGTTTTCATTTGTGGCAACATGGGAAAGACAAAAAACCCCAGACTACACCCTGTCACAAAAAAAAAGGCAAAAAAAGGCAAGCTGTGGCTCCAGGTCACTTCTTGTTGTGCTGGGCAGAAGTCTCCAAGTTTTACTTTACTTTGACTTTACCTCCCAAACTCAGGTAAAACACAGTCAAACCCGTAACTTTTGTCTGCTCTGGCATGAAAGCCCAAATTCCATCAGAAACTACAGCTCCCCCGAGGTCTCCTAAAACCTGGCCAAACTTGGTCAGGATCTTTGGGAAGTCTAGGATCTTTGGGCAGCAAGTCTAGGGTTCTTGGGTTGGCAGCAGCACATGTGGCACAGGAATCGCTGTGTCTGTCACGCAACTCCCAAACATCCCCCTCGGCTTGGGGCGCCCACCTCCCCTCTCTCAATCATGCTGGGATATCTGTAGCTTCTCCTCCTATTTTCCCCTCCCCAGACCACGAGGGAGGTGGCAAAGCCATGTCTGCTTCCCTCCCGGGTGCTTTAAAGACATCGGGGCTCTCCCTCACCACGAAGACTGCAGGAGCTGCTGGAAGGGAGAAACTGCATGCCTGCAGCTGGGCACAGGCTCCAAAAGCAGCGCCTGGACACTGCTTTATTGCATCCCACAATTTCTCTGGGAGCTGAAATGGCTTTGCAACAGCACAGAGAGAAAGCGGGTGACTCGTCCTGTGCCCACAGCTCTCCACAGGGTCCCACACGTGGTGCTGAGGCTCTTCCAAAAGGTTTCTGGGCTGCTAAAGCCATCAGTGGGTAACAATAGGATGGGGTGGGGAGTAAAGCATCCTGCAGTGCTGCCCAGTGACTGGATTGCAGCTCACGGGAGAGAAAGGGAATGAAGGACACAGAGCTGGGATTCCAGGGATACCAACAGCCTCGGCTCGTGGAAGGCAGAGCAAGAGATACTGGCATGGGAATGCGGCACGTTGACGCAGAACTCACGCAAATGAGGAAGAGACTAAGAAATGACAGCGTGTCCAGGGTTTGGGTTGGTTTAAAAATCAAAACAAAACACCAAACCAACCCAAAACACACACAACCTTTTCATCCCTCTTCAGAATTCTCAGCACAGGCAGAAGAATCTCAGAGTTCTGCCCTCAAACAGGGGCAGATTCCAGCAAGCTGAGGCCAACAACAGCACAACTGGGCAGGGCTAGGCTGGGGGTTGAACAGTCAATGATCACCACCCCCTAGACCCCACCTCATACACACCCACAGAAACATTTCTGTCCTTAAAGCATTTCCTGTGCTCGGGGTCTCGGAGCGATGCCGAGTGGCACAAGACCCCCAGAAGCACGTTTGGGATCAGCCCCCAGACATGTGCCCTTCCTTCGGGACGGCCACTCCTGCCCCTTCCGGAGAGAGGCGTTTCTGGCCACGATCCCAACAAACCCATTCCCAGCCGGCAGCAGCTTTTCCTGCTGCCCTTCCAGTGACCACAAAAAGTACGGGAGGGTCTCCCAGGCAAACTGAGAATCGAGGGCTGACCCTTTGCATGAACAACTCCCTGGATTTCTCAGATGCCAACCAGCCCCAGAACTGCCCATTCCCCTCGGCAGCGCAGTGTTTGCCAACACCCACCCAGGATGCTCCATGCCCCAACACAGATGCTCTCCAGATGGTAATTTTGGTGGTATTTTTGTGTTGGGTTTTTTTTTTTTCTTTTACCTGCCCATCATGTGAGCTGAGCCCCATGAAGCATTCCTGAGCTGACACTTATAATTAGCCTCTGGCTCAAAAAGGGAACTAGTAACACTGTGAGACAGTAGTTGGGAAGCCGGGCAGTGAGTTGGGCTGGGACTTATGGGAACACGTCTGTCTCCTGTGCTGCCACGCTGGTTTGTTCTGCTGCAATCTCCCTGCGTGTACCCCCAGAAAGCACAGCAAGAGTCGCAGCCCATCTAGGGCAGGTTTGGTTTGCTTTAATGAGCTGTGGATTAACTAAAACTCATGCTACAGCTGAGTGATGAGCAGGACTTCCCTTAAAGCAGCAATAAAGGAGCAGGGAATAAGTCCCAAAGCAAATCAAAGGAATGGTCAGGAAAGGTGGAACCAAATCCCCTGCTGCTGCTCAGTGCTTTTCCCACTGCACCTTACTTGCCCCACCCCGTGTTCCTGCAGGAAAGGTGCTGGGGGACACACTGGCCAGCCTCAACTCAACATGAGAAGATGCTGGAATGAATGACAGGGATGGGGATGGGACACAAGCCCCTAAAATGGAACACAGAGCTGAAACACAGGCAACGTGAATTTTTCAAGCAGTGGCACAGCATTCTATGTTCCTTTAAGAGGATAATGGGATCAGTGAAGAAGTGGGGAGCAGGGGTTGGGCTGTACTTCGACCTTTTGAAGACCCAAAACCCTATCCCATACAACTTCCCTACAAGCAATCAAGGGCAATGCTGTCTGGTTGTGCATACCCTGAGGTGGGTGCTGGAGCAATCTGGTCTAGTGGAAGGTGTCTCTGACTATGGCAGAGGGTGGGACTTCGTGGGCTTTGAGGTCACTTCCCGCTCAAAAAGTTCTGTGATTCCATGAAATCATGGGCCGTATTGTTCAAGCACCGTCCAACATGGGCAGTTAACACCCCGCTGCCAAATGATTTAAGCCGGATCATTTCCTGGGACAGGCTCAGGCTGAGGCACTGAGACCGAGGTTGTTGGGGTGTTGGATCCAGCCTGGCAAAGGGATGAGGGTGAGTCGGGCACCTTTCCATCCACAGCCAAGAAAAGAACCACAAATACTTTCCAGCAGGTGTTATGCAGGGAGCTGTGGACTACTAGGGTCTCCTCTAAGCAGGCCAGGCCTTTATCCTGCAGGTATATACATACCCAGGTGTGGAGGACTTGGACAAAAATACTTCACTCTCATCCTTAGCCAGTAAAAAGCCAAGTGCCTTCGGCTTGATTCTGTGCCAGCACCGGGAAACCCATTGTTTCAGGGAGGGTTAACAGCCCACAGTGCTAAGATTAGGAGCAGCTCACCAGTTTGATGTGCCCCCTGTCTGGGAAAGATAGGGGATCTCCCACAGGAAGCTTTTGCTTGCAGGAGGCTGGGAAGTCCATGATGCTCTACACGGACATGGGACGATGTGGCACACATGGACCAGTGGCACACATCCAGCCCTAGGCTGACACGTAGGGAGGACAAACCTGCTCCATGGAAGCGTAAACTGACAGGAGAGGATAAATGACTGCTCACAAGGTTAAAATTGGGGCTGCAGCTCCGGACTGGAACAATCAAGCATAACCTCAGATCACAGGCAGGGCTACACCATAAGAGTTCTCCACAGGGATGACTAAATCCTGCTGTCGCATAGTTATCTGCTTAGGTCAGCAGCATCCAAGCTCCCCATCCACTGCAGGCGTTTGCAGGCTCGAGCCATAGGCGGCTGACCAAAAAGCAAGCTCTTCTCCTTTGTTTAAACCACCCCGCTGTATATATTAATTGCGTTTAATCACGCCATCCAAGCCAGACTTTCTGTTGCTGGAAAAAGCAGTGTAGCTTGGTTACTACACTCCACAGCTTGTGTTTCGCTGAACCACCAAAACATCTAAAAGCAGACTGCACTTTTTCTTTGGAGAGCCAGGGTCCAACCTCACTGCACCCTTAGGGTGCCAAGCACGCATCACACCAAGCTGCCACTGAGTGATAAGCGAACCAGACCCGTGTTTCTTTAGCAAATGCCCAGTGCTCCGCAGGGATCCCGGTGACAATGTGACTGCAACACCACCCAAGTCGCCGTTTCTTCTTCCACATAATGCCCACATTACATTCCTTGTGACTGTAGCAACAACATTAGAGGCTCAGTCTGGAGGACACCTCATAGGGCTCTGTTTGCTTTACCAGCACTGGTGACTTCTGCTTGACTTTGTGTGAATTAAGTTGAAGTCACGTGAGAAAACTTCCTCTCGCTCAAGGCCAACAACGTTAACAAAAAAATCACCCAGGAAAAGAGCCAGCTGCCAATTTTGCACTGGGCCAACTGTTGCAACACTGAGATACAGGAGAAAAACAAGCGAGTTGGGAGCAGAGTGAGCTCACAAGGAAAGTATTCGGCCCCGAGGGATGTTTACCTCCTGAATGCGCTGACAAGCTCACACAAATACTGCTCAGAGATGTTCTGCAGCAGCAACTGTTTCAATCCAGTCTGTACACTGGTCTCTGCTGCTGACACGTCTTCAAACACAGAGCTCACCTGCAACCGCCTATCAACACGTAACGCAAGGACAGAAATCCTGAGACTGGCAGCCCCCATGCACACATCTGTCTGTTTGGGCGTTTAAAGCTCTTACCCACCCTTTTTATTTAGCACCGAGAGTAGGGACGGGGCAGCTTGACTAACAGCAATCACAAACATCTGGAAGAATGAGCTTTATCTCAAAACCAAGTCGCTATGAAATGCGTCTCTCAGAACTACCACTGCTTTTGGAGGAATTCTAGTTTTAAGGCTACAATCCATACAGTTAAGACTGGCAGGGTTTTGGTCCAAGTGTCAAGAACCATTTCCACCCAATTCAGGGGAAAAATACATGTGCCAGCAGGGAAAGGATTTGGCATTGGTTAGGCACAGCAGGTAAACCAAACCAAACCAAACCAGGTCACGAGTGCAGGTAGGATGCCCACACTGCAGCACAAACCAACACAGGCCCCCTGGGCTGCAGCAGGGAGTGTGGGGGCTGTTTTAATACCCCATGGCCAACCCCATGTTTCCAGGCTGGCACAAAGACTATCCTTGTAAGCACAGATTCCACATTCCCACCTTTCCCCAAAACACAGGAGAGCATCTCTTACCTATTTGGTCCTCGGGAATCAGTGATTCGATCGGGGGATTGAGCTCAGAGCTTTGGGACAGATAGTTCTTGACCTGGGTCATGAACTGCCGGATCGTTTGCAGCATGTCGGTGCTGGAAACGTGGCACTCCTTGTTTTCCTGGAGGAAGCTGACATAGTCCTGCACTAGGCAGCCAAAGTACGTACGCTTGTCCTGGGACATCTCCGCAATTTTCTTAATCATCCTCTTCTCGGGTGTCATGAAGGAACTGAAAACGCCACTGACTTTCCGCAGCTGAGATTTCACAATCTTGGGGAGGACAAAGGAGCTGTTTCTTTTCTTTTTGGGCTTCAGGGGGGGTGCCATGCTCTCTTGGTCGCTTTCCCCCTCCAAGTCCTCCAGGCTGCTGGTGGTGTCCCCCTCGTAGCTGAAGAGCGGCATGCTCCGGTCCAAGTCCAGCGAGTCGGACGAGGAGGTGGAAATGCTCATGTTGCTCAGCCTCTGCCTGCCTCCATTCCAGGGCACGTGTGACTCAGAGCTTGGAGCCACAGCCTTTCTGGGAGCTGCCGGAGCTGGCTCAGGCGGCGTCTCAGCTGGGACGCAGAGGGCTGCGGGCACAGGTGCTGTGCCACGTCCTGCTCGCACTCCAGCTGTGGTCCTCGCGGCACCTTCCCCCTCTGAGCAGGCAGCCTGCTTCTTCAGCCGAGGGGGCGGAATAGGGGCTGGTTTCCTCTGCAGCAAATCCAAGCCTTGCTCCTTCCTATGGCTGTCTGTTTCCGGCATGCTCCCCTGCTTTATAGTCCTGGAAAGCTGTGGGCTCGCGAGGATGCTATTAATGGAAGGAGGTGGCGGCCGCGGCGGGGGGGAGCGTGGCCTCGCTGTGCCATGCCCGTCTTGAGCTCTGGGACTCTGCCTTTTTAGGCTCCCCCCGCCATCCTGGCTGTGCACTTTTAAGAAGAGAGGGTTGATGAAACACAGCGCTCCGTTGGTCTGGCTGCATTCCAGCTCTGAAGGCGTCCTGGTGCGGATGGAATGCACTCCATTTATAAGGCAGAGCTGGCGGGAGCCATTGCAAGAAGCGTCCAGGGATGCGGGCCTACGGGGAGGTGAGGGATCCAGGGGATTGCTGTTAGCCGTGGAGCTCCAGAAGGCTGAAAATCATCATGGGGTTAGCATAAGAATGCAAACCAGCAGGAAGACAGCTTTCAGAACATTCAGCTCAACACCACCCGTCTTGAGGATAAGGAAATTTAGACAAGTTTTTTTTATTAATTCAAAGGGAAAAAAGAAATTCCAAGTGGCCCTTTTAAAGCAGCACCGGACATAACTGCCCGCTACATCCCTCTTGCTCAGTTATAAATATCACAGGCAAGGCGTTAGCTTCAAGGCAGCCCACTGAGCTGAGCTTAAAAATAAACCGGGAATCAAAGAACGGAATGAGGATCGCAGCACTGAATTCCCACCCTTCCAGCCTGGAGTGAACGCAAGCCACTCGCTAGCATCTCTTGCAGGAGCAGTGAGCCTGGATCCTCACCTTATGGCACCCCGCCAAGAATTCGGGTTTTGTTTTGTTGGACAGCGATGTGGAAAGAGAGCTCAGGCATCGCTGCAGCAGGTGCACAGCGACCCTTCGGCTACATGGAGCCAACAGCTGGGTCTCTAAGCGCGCTGCCCTGCAGCCCTGCCTTGACCAACACAGCACTGTTTGCCCGAGGTTTGGGAGGCTCAGCAGCACGTAAACAGACTGACATGCTGTCCCACCTCCGCAGGGTGGAAAACCTGCCCTCAACCAGTATGCTGCAGCTGCAGCCACCACAGCCACCTTAGCCCAGCAAAGCATCCGCGTGGTTGTGAAACCGAGGAAGCCAGCAGCTCCCAAACTACTAGGAGTGGAAGCAGCCATGCCCTTACGGACAGCAGGCGGACTGAAGTACAGAGCAATACCAGAGGAGGGAGATTTTGCTGAAATCTGCCTATCCTGGCATACTGCCTTTTCCTGTGTCACGAAGATGCCTCATTTGGGCTGCGGAGACCTGGCCCCAGCTGCAAGAACGCCAAGCACTCGCAACAGGGCCTGTGCCGACCGCTGCCTCCTCCCTCAGGGGCAGGATCCAGGGAACAGCCCCGGTGACAGGGCGCTGCCAGGAAACACATGTAGGCACGGACATATTCCTTGGCATAGTCACGCACTGCTGCTGGGTTTTCCTGTTCTGTCGCTTCACGTCCTGCCTGGGCAGCCGGGCCAGTGTGCCTGGCACGTGCCTGCTGCATATGTGATGTAAATGCCGCTGCAGTGACACACCAGAGACTGCGAGGGAATCTTACGTTCAGCACATGAAACATTACAGCTTGCCCACAACCTGGAAACCTTCCCCACCAGTTCCTCCTGACACAGTTGGCTGGGCTACGTGCTGCTTGAGAGGCCTCGTGCAGTTCTCCCGCTGAGCCTACTGTGTAACAACAGCTCTGACCAGAGCTACAGCCCAGGGTGTTTTGTGCCTAAGGAAAGCTCACACTTACCAGGAAGGTCCCTGGGGAGTTTTCAGGCACCTATTGGGCCTGCAGCACTGAAAGGCTGACTTGCTGGTGTGCTCTTTCGCATGTGGACACCTAAAACCGTCAAATCTCAGCTTTGTTGGTTTTTGCTCAGAGAAGCTGGGTTCTTACCGATGTACAGTACGCAACTGATCCCAAATACACCAATCAACACAGACACTGATCCATCAGTCTCCTCCTCAGCTTTCAAATGCATTAGCTTAAAGAAATAACACCCCCAATGCAGAGACTGCTCAAGAGCAAGACTGACTCTGCAGCAGTAGCCCACAGTGCCCTCAGGTTCTGAGGACAGTGTGGTTTGTTTGGAGAACCATCATCATCTGCTGCGGAAAAACTCACCTAATGGCTTCCAGGTGTCACTGGGACCATTTTTTTTGCCCGTCCAAACATTCACCTAATCAACAGTTCCCTGATGTATTCTCATGAAAATCTGTACTATCGTCTAATCCCCTAAATGTGCAGAAATCTTCTGTCTCCACTCTAAAACAAATCCCCTAATTGCCCCGTGGCTGCAGCAAAGCCAAAAGCAAAGCAGTGCGATGCTTCCCCACAGGTGGCTTTGTGCAAAGTTCCAGAGAGTCTCATGCCAATGCCGATTCGTAGAATCATAGGAATGGTTTGGGTGCGAAGGGACCTTAAAGATCATCTAGTTCCAACCCCCCTGCCATGGGCAGGGACACGGCCAGGGACCCCTTCCACTAAGCCAGGTTGCTCAAAGCCTCGTTCAGCCTGGCTTTGAAGACATCCTGGGATGGGGCATCCATAGTTTCTCTGGCAACCTATCCCAGTGCCTCCCCACCCTCTCCAGGAAGAATTTCTTCCTGATATCTAATCTAAACCTCCCCACTTTCAATTTAAACCCATTACCCCTTGTCCTATCACTACAGGCCCTTGTAAAAAGTCCCCTCCATGTGTTTCCCAATCAAAGACGATTCAAAAATCTCTGGGGACAAACCGCTGACAGTGGGCTTCCCTTCCTGCAAGAGGAAATGAGGCCAGTCAGCACTTTCCGGGAGTTGCTCAACACTTGCTTGGGTGGATCTGTGTTCCAGCTCTGGGTCTCCACAAGCCCAGGGTATGTTTTACCAGGAGCCTGTAAACTTGGTGTCAGCACTCAAGCCATACAAGGACGTGTCCTCGCATCTTCTTTAGTCATCTTAACAATGTCACTGAGCTGATGCACATGGATACGGCCTGCAGATCCTTCTATTAATGCTACTGCACTGAGCCACTGTCGCGAAAAATCACCATTCCAAGATCCCACGTCAACCCGACAGAAGCTCTGTTAACAGCCAACCCCTGTTCCTACCCTGTCCTGGCCACTCCAGCAGATTAACAAGTTAGCACCTGCTACGCGAGCCTGCAGCTAACACCAGCCCTCGGAGAAGCTGCATCAAACTCAGTCTGGGGACTGTCCAGCTTGCTTTGTCCAAGGGCTGCCCAGAGAGGTGACAGGAGAGAGAAGGAAGGAAACGGCACAAGCAGAAATACCACAGAAAGCAGAGCAAGCACCAAGGACAGCATTGGGCAAGTGAAGCTGCTTTTCTGAGCTCTTCACCATACCCGACCAGTGTGGGCTACACAGACCATTTCTGCAGGCTTACAGCAATGCGGAAGGGAGCAACAGCTATGCAGGGAGCTACCCACCAAGTCCATTCTGAGCAATCTCTTCAAGTTCTGCCTCTGTCTTCGCCACAGCAACAGCGTGCGGCAGCTTCAGGGTGAATGGAAGGACGTCCCTGTCGGAGAGACAAACAGCTACGGTTTTCGCAACAACATCCACAGTGCTAAAAGTGTCTGTTTTCAGTGCTGGCAGAGGCCAAGCCCTGATTCTTGTTTCCTTCTTCAGCTGTGGCAGGTAGCAAGAGCCTCAAACACAGCACAGAGTGCAAACATGACCAGCCCCAGGGCTCTCGTACATGGGAGAGTGGTGTGAAGGGAATTTATCCTCAGATGGGGCTTCTTCTCACTGCATACTCAGTCAAGGGGTGGTTACAAAGGGAGCTGCATGAGCACATGAGCAACCACATGAGCCAAATTCGGTGTAAAAAGCTTTTGGAGACCGAACTTCCTCACCATATGCACGTTGTGTGAGTACCACCATCAACCAATGTTGTACCTCTTGCCTCCCCAACTTGTACCAGTAC